CATTGATTGTGCTAAAAACAGAAGTGGGTCGTCATTGGCCTAGGCGTGTTTTTTTAGATAGGATTTCATGGAATGGAGAAAATGTATTCAGTTTTGTTCACTGTGAACCCTGTGTACCCATTTTTTTTATAAAATGTATTCATTTATATAAAGTATAGAGAGCAGCAACAATATACAAAGAATGTAGGCCATTTACATCACTGCTTGTAATCAGATTGCTTGTATGTTTCTCTTAGCTATACTGTACATATGTGTAAGTATGATGAGCTTCATGTAATGTCATTCGTTTGAGAAAAAAATGTCCATCATGTTTCTTCGATTTCTATTAGAAAATGATTAGTTTAACTATTAGAAAATGAAATAATCATTCCACAAAGAAAACATTTTTTTAACCAAAATTGTACTGGTGATTGTATCTCTTATTCAACCTATTTTGCACCTTATTTGTCCCTAACAAATTTTTTTCTGATTTTTAAAATGTTTTTTTTTTCTGTTCATTTGACTTTTTTTAATTTTATTTTCAGTTAAAAAAGCTAAATAATAAAAAAAATCATTTCAGAATAATATCCGTTCCTTGTACCAAGAATATATAATTTATGTGTTGTAATAAAGGAGACATGTCACAGGATCGATTTGTGTTCTGTATCTAGGGTAACACTGCTTGTTTTAATACAACCCCTGAGAAAACTAGACATTGATTGTTTTTCTATATTTTACTTTCTTTTACCTTCTTTTTTAAGACATTACCACCAAAATATTTTTTTTGTCCCAAAAGAAAGAATTGTATGTTAAAAGTTGCTTCTAATTCATAAGTAGTGACAAATGTGTTAGTAAGTCAGTAGGCCTGTAGCTTCTGCTCCAGAAAGGATAACATTTGCTAGTACTTAAATTATTAAAATAGATATAACTTCTAGCTGAATGTGATTTAGTTTGCTAAAGCATAGTGTATCATGAACAGTTGCCATTTTTATTTTTCAAGTAAATGTATAGTTTACCTTTATTGGTGTAGGAAGGAAAGGATGTAGAAGGATAGGATGTAAATGGTAGGGGTGTAGAAATGATAGGATGTAGGAGCGAAGATGGTAGGGGTTTAGAAAGACTAGGATGTAGAAGGTAGGGGTGTATAAAGGATAGAATGTAGAGGGTAGGGGTGTAGGAAGGAGGTTAGTAGAAGTTAGGGGTGTAGGAAGGAGGTTAGTAGAAGGTAGGGGTGTAGGAAGGAGCTTAGTAGGAAGGATCGGATGTACATGGTAGGGGTGTAGAAAGGAGTTTAGTAGCAGGTAGAGATGTAGAAGGTAGGAGTGTAGGAAGGAGCATAGTAGAAGGTAGACATATATAAATTAGAGGTGTTGGAAGGAAAGGATGTAGAAGGTAGGGATTTAGGAAAGGAGGTTGGTAGCACGTAGAGATATAGAGGGTGGGGATGTAGAAAGGAGCTTAGTCGAAGGTAAGGGTGTAGGAAGGAGCTTAGTAGAAGGTATAGATGTAGAAGGTAGGGGTGTAGGAAGGATAGAATGTAGAGGGTAGGGGTGTAGGAAGGAGGTTAGTAGCAGGTATAAATATAGGAAGGAAAGGATGTAGAAGGTAGAGGTGTAGAAAGGAAAAGATGTAGAAGGTAGGGGTGTAGGAAGGAGCTTAGTAGAAGGTAGAGAAGTAGAAAACAGGGGTGTAGGAAGGAAATGACGTAGAAGGTAGGGGTGTAGGGTCGATAGGATGTAGAAGATAGGGGTGTAGGTAGGAAATGATTTTGAAGATAGGGGTGTAGGTAGATAGGATGTAGAAGGTAGGGGTGTAGGTAGGAAATTATGTAGAAGATAGGGGTGTTGGGTTGATGGGATGTAGAAGATAGGGGTGCAGAAGGTAGAGCTGTAGAAGATAGGGGTGTAGGAAGAAAACGATGTAAAGGTATGGATGTAGGAGTTCCTAAAGTGGATGCTATAGAACAGGGGTAGCCAAACATCGGCCCTCCAGCTGTTGTGGAACTACGAGTCTCATAAGGCATTGCAAGACTCTGACACCCACAGGCTTGACTCCCAGAGAAAGATGAATGATGGGATTTATAGTTTCTCCACAGCTGGAGGGCCAGAGTTTGCCTACCCTTGCTATAAAGCAAACTTCAGCTAATGCTGTCTATGGGAAGACAGCTCTAAAACTAGCCGTTATTTATAAATAACATCTATTGTAACATTTTATGATCCGCATCAGACTGATGAACACATTTGTTTAGTTACAAAGTGACGGCTTTTCCTTAAGCATTTGCTCCCGCACATTGTAATGCAGATGGATATCTTACTCTTACAGATGTAAGGAAGTTGTGTCACAATCCCTTTAAATGCCATTGAGCTGCCGATATGGCGGAATAATAGCTATGATTCCAATCTCCTGTGCTCTGGCCGGGGGAGAGTACTTGAGCATAATGTCCCTTCATCTGGTATGAAAAGCCTGTTAGCTGAAATGGGTTTTTATGCTTCTAGGGACCCAAATGACATGCATACTGAATGATTTCTGCGTCGGCTTCAGATGTGTTTTGCAGTTTTGTCTTAACCTTTGTAACGTATTTTGATTGATGATTACAGCAATCAGACATGACTTGCAACACAGGCTAATGCATTTCACCAGGAGTGACTGAAAGAATGCAGTCAATGTATTTATTAAGCTGGGCTTTAATGCTCCATCCTAAATGTACAAAATGCAGCTTTTGTTTCCCTCATGATGAAGATGAATGTGCTCCCTTATCTCCCCCATAAAGCATGGATTTGCTATAAATTGCCCATGTCACTGTTCATAATACTGTTAATAAGTAAACCAATATCTTGGTGTCCAGTTGAAATACGCACAGCAGTAAAGGCACAGGAAACATTAAAGTATTATCATCTGTTTCGTCCGTCTTGTTACTTCGGAGATGGCTATATGAAGAATCTATTGATTTTTAGCTTTCTGGCCCAGGAGATCATAAATTCAAAGGAAAGACCCTTATGAAGTTTCAGCAGTGCTGTCCGGTGCAGCAGTTCTGTTTGTCTTAAAGGAGTTCTTCTATTTCATGTTAATACTATACCTTAGAAAAGTCTGACACGCAGGAATGCACATGGAATAGTAAAAGGGTACACACGGCAAAGGACAGACCCAGAATATAAGCATGCCAAAGGGAGAGAAGAGGACCTTGCCTAAATTCATTTACAATCCAAAGTGAATCCGTGCTTTGACTATGCAGAGCAACACTATCTGTCCACGTTATTGCCCACCTCCCTCTGTTAATCCCCTTTTAAAGCATTAGACTGCTGGAGTGAAAACGCTGAGTGTGAAGCTGGCCATACACTGTTACATTTATTTTTGTTCAGCCCACAGACTGCCGGGGTTATTCACAAAAGGGTGAAGAGTTTGGAGAAGACAGGAGAAGTGAACAATCTAGGACAACATCGCTAAACTGGAAAGTGAGCTGAATTAGAGAATTGCTTACAAATCAGCTATTTTGGCCTAAATTGTTCACCTTTTCTGCCTGTTCCAAACTCTACACCTTTTATTGAATAACCCTGTTAATGAAAAACATCTAACAGATTTCTCCATTCACACTAAGCAGCGTGGATGGATGAATCTTCAGCTGCGGCTATTGTATTGGGACCCTGTGGTGAGTGTGCCGCTGTCAGAATACCTGAATAGTCACTACAGCTGATTGGCTCCATCATAGGATAGAAGGCTGCTGACAGGGCCACCCACTGTGCCAATTTCATCAGATTCATCAAGGACTGGCCGATAATGTGCGCTGTGTATGAACAGTTTAAGTTCCATGTCACGCTGGCTGGAGCTTACACAAAGCTAAAAACTTGCTCCCCACTCCCATGTGACAGCCCTCACACCTAGAGATTGACCATTCAGGAAGCTAGCATTGCATCTCTGGAAGAATAGGGAGAGTCACTAGCTGTAATAGAGGAATTAGCAAGAATCAGTAAGTCACAAAGGCCAGTTTCTAACCTTGGCATCGTCACAGATGAAACAAATGAATTTGCAGCTCTGGTCTTTCAGAATAATGAGGTCGTTGGGGACTTCCATATTCCTACCATGAGTATATTCCTAGCAGCACTTTAGTTTAGCATTAAAGTGGCAGCCCTTTATTAATATAAAGCAGTGATGGCTAATGTTTTTGAGCCCAAGTGCCCAAACTGCATTGCAAAATCAATTTACCTCAAAGTGCCAACACTGAAAATATGTACTTTTTTATCATGTTTTTATTTTATTTTTTTATTTATCTTATTTACTTTTTTATAATTTTTTATTGATTTGATAATTGTTTTTCTTATCACCTTTTTATTTTAATTATTATTTCCTATTTTTTACTTTTTTACTTTCTATATTTTTTTTACTTTTTATTTTATTATTTTTTACATTTTTTTCCCACTTAACTTTATTGCTATCACACAGGGGCTCACAACAAATTTTGTGCCATAGAATCACCATCGCTGATTTAAAGTATTGTAAAAACAGAAATTCTGTGTACACTTTAATGGTACCCACACCTTCCATGAGAAAATATCAGAGCTGCACTTGGGATGTTCAGTGGCAGTACATGATGATTTCATGATTACTTATAGCCATATAGCTGGTAATGACTTAAAGGTGCCTATAAAACGATCTATACAGCTGTGATGCCATCTGGTTATGTCGAGTGTGTTCAGGCATGGATAGCTTATGATGGTCCGTAAGGTTTGCTTATTGAAAGTGGCTGTCAGATCATTGGTTAGATGGCTGGTGCCGCTGTAACTGATCCTTGTCAGAATTTGCCAGTAGTCTTGTTGCTTCACAAATAATGACCCTTTTTTTGATGAACTTGGTGGTCTGACTTCAGACTGTAGATGCCTTGACATTGTATACTCTGAAAGTTTTCTATCTTCTACCTTCTGAATGGTTCTTATATGTTCTTTTTTTAATGACAGCATTTTAAATACATTCTGGTTTTAAGTCCTAGATGGTCATTTTCATGGTAATTTTTTTTATTGATATTTTAGGGAAATTTTGTTGCCTCCATGACGGCAATTTTACGTCAGATGGAAGACTATCACTACAGCCATCTTATCAAAACACTTGGGAAAATGAGAACAGATGTGGTGGTAAGTATTCATTTTCTTGTACGGTTTATGAACTTTTCTTCATTTACTTATATCCTTTTAAAATCAGTGTGGTG